GACTTAATGACTAAACAACAACAAGCTAGAAATGCTAATGTAAATGTAAAGTGGAAGGCTAATAACAGTGAATATGAAGAAGTATGCACATCATTACCCTGACTGGTCACATGCTCACTGTTACCCTGCCAAACTAGAAGACAGGTCTCCATTTTTTAAAAGTGAGAAACAACCACACTCCTGTGTAACTCTGGATCTTTACCTCCCCCACCCCTGTAGCATGGGAAATTTCATGTTGGAATTTCACAGATGTTATGCCAGGAGAAGGCATGCATCATGTACATGGCAATACTCCAGATAATATGTGTTGTCTCTATACACAATTTGGGATCATGGTGAAACCCTCATCTTTTTTCTGGTATTAGTGACCTGCTGAGAGGTGTGGTTATAACTGACTCAGAATATAAATTTATGAAATATAATTACTGTACGATGTTAAGTTGTTCTACTTCTTTCCAGTGCTTTTACTCCCACAGAAACAATATATCTCAGAGAGTATCAAAATAGGTGAATGTCTGTGCTGAAAGTAATACATTACATGCAGAGGCAAGTTCAAACTTAGAATGTGGATCACCTGCAAAGAACATGCCCAAGAAGTAAGTGAAATAAGCACAGGCAAGAGCACACCTTACCTGAAGCGTTCAAATATAGATGACAAATATGAGATTTTGTACTATATAAACCATAAATAGATTGTTTCCAGTGGTTTGTTACTAAATATTGGGAAGGCATTTTAATCCCATCATTCCTTTTAACAAAAAAATTAAGGACTATATTGTCTATGTGGCTACTGCACAAAGTAGAAATGCCATTTTGGTAAGGCAAATGAAGATGTGTGCAATTCATTTTCATTGCTTGATTAGGAGCCCACTGTGTATTTCTATTTTCTCCCATGAAACTATTTTTGATGAATGGAGAAAAATCCAGTTCATCACATTACCTACAGTAATAATGGGGATCAGATTTTTCCTCCCTGGAAATCTACACAAAGAGTTGGGCATTGCACCGTATTTTGAGACTGACGATTTATGTAGACAACTTTGAAATGTCAGGGTTCTGAAATTTCTTATCTGTAAATGTTCTTTGTGCATTTTTGGCAGTCTGTGTAGTCCCCAGAGGATCTCAGGGGCAGAAAATTTGCCCCTTGGCTAACCAAAGCTGCCAAACATTTGACTAATGATGTAGCTGAGTGGGGTTTCCTCAGTGATATGTATTAGAACAGGAAATTTTTGACTTGCTTATAAATTGTCTGAAGTAATAGGTGAGGATTGACATGGCCAGGTTTGGAGATGAAACCAAGTTTTCCAAGTTGATTTAAAAAGTCGATTGGAAAGAACACCAAATGAATCTCTGCAAATTGGAGGAATGGCTATTAAAATGGCAAACATAATTCAAAGTAAGCAGGTCTACTGTGATGCAAGTTGGGGCAGGACATCCCAACATAAAACATGCATGGGAACTGTGGAAGTTGCCACCACATGATGTAGGGATGATCAGCATCTCAAATGAATCTAAAAGGAGCTTAGGAAAATTCATGGAGGTTAAGGTGATTAGTGACTGAGATTCACCACGGCTCTGTATAGTCTTTAATATAATAAGGAGTATTGCTCTGCATACCAGTTGTTTGAGAACATGATCAATAGGGTCCTATTGCACATATATCTGGATCATGGGCTGCCAATAAAAAATTCATTGAAATGGAAAGCTGCACTCAATAGGGCATTGTTCTGATCCAGCATCATCTTATAGCTTTTGAGCAATGTGACCCTTTAATGGAAGAAGAGAATTTTATACAGTATTGCCTAAAATTAGGACTTCATTCTCACAGGGTTGACCCACAAGGTATAGCTGTCCAATTTGGTTTCTACTTGCAAAACTCTTTTGTGTTAGTCATGCTGACAAAAAGGAAATGGTGTAAACTGCACTGGCATACTGCACCAAATTAAAGAGTCCCTGCTTTGATTTGCTGCTATGCACAAGTCCACCCAACTTGCATGCAATAAGAATAAATTTAAACAATGAAGAATAAAAGTGGGATCCCTTTAATTAGCAATAATTGACCATCATGGGTTATGATATTTTCTTTACACCATGACTTATACAAGAAGATTTTGGTGACTGACCTTTTTTTAAACTTTAACTAGCATTGTAAATTATATTCACCCTTGTCAATAAAAAGACTGCTTAGTTACTCTTTTTCCTGCATACAAAAAGAAAAAGAGTCAGTGAGCTTCAAACAGGATAGAGACAGCTCTGAGTTTGCAATGGAGTTTTTTTTTTAATGGAGACTCCTATGTTGTTATTTCTTCTGCTCTCACCAATGCCTGGGGACCAATTCAAATGAAAGCTATGCTATCATATGACATGATGAGCCTTGTTATGAGTTTTCAGACTTTTCCTCTTCACTACACCTCAGGACAACATGCATACATGTTTTTATGGTCAATTCTTCCCAGATTTTCCATCCCCCAGCCTTTTTGCATACTTGAAGATGTCAAAAGTGTATTTTTGGTTGGACTAGTAAAAGTATTACAGGTAAAGGTAAAGGTTCCCCTTGACATTTAGTCCAGTCGTGTCTGACTCTAGGGTGCGGTGCTCATCCCTGTTTCCAAGCCATAGAGCCAGTGTTTGTCTGAAGACAGTTTCCGTGGCCACGTGGATAGCGTGACTAGACACTGAATGCCGTTACCTTCCCACCGTGGTGGTAGCTATTTATCTACTCACATTTTTACATGCTTTCAAACTGCTAGGTTGGCAGGAGCTGGGACAAGCAACCGTTGCATGGATTCGATTTTACAGCTGCTGGCCTTCTGATCTTGTAGCACAGAGGCTTCTGCGGTTTAACCCAAAGCACCACCATGTCCCTTATAAAAGCATTATACTGGAGACCAATATCAAAATCATCTATATTATGACATTCCTACTATGTATAAATATGAATTTTTTTCTTAAGAGTAGTTAAACATTTTCCCACATGCACAAATTACTTCATAAGAAACCTGAAACATAAAACAAATATGGTTTGGAAAATTAAGAAATTATTACCCCTGGCACCCAAATCCGAGTGAGAGGAATCCTCATGCATCTCCCCCACAATTACCACTACTAAGCACCACATAGGGGGTGTCTGGCAACCACAAGCTGTGAAAACAAAGCGTGGACCAAGGACAGCACTGAAGTCTGTTCTGTAGGCAGGAGTTATTTTAAATTAATCTAAAATCTGGATAGCTCAGTGGTTTAAGTATCTGGCTGTGGAGTTCAATTCCTCACTGTGCTTCTAGAGAGAAGAGCCAACCTATGTGGCCTTGGGCAAGCTGCACTGTCCCAGAATGCCCCAGAAAAAGGGAATGGTTAATTATTTCTGAGTATTCTCTACCTGGAAAACCCTGAAAAGGGTTGCCGTAAGTCAAAGTTGACTTGACAGCACATTATTATTATTATTAAAATCCAGGCAATCAAGAATGTTGGGAAGAGACAAAGTGGCATGTCTGGGGGCAGGGACAAACAGGTAGGACAGAACAGATCCATGGTGTTGGCTCGTTAGCTGAAGGCTCGTCCCTCCGGTCTCAATCACATTGCTAGCCTGGTGGGATTCTGTGAAACCAAGAATAATTTCCTCCAAAGTGTCTCTTGAGGGAAGGGCAAGCCCTGGGGCCCAGTCTTTCCACCTGCCAGTTCAGTTCAGCTGGGGAAGGGAGCTCTGAAATGAGAGAAAGCATGTTCCACAAGTCCCTTTCAGGACAAACCCTATGAAATTTAGCTGGAGAACTGAATTGACAACCCGTCCCTTTACCTTAAACAGCTGAAGCCAACCTGAGAAAGTCGTAGTCACTTTCTGTGTCATATCTTGACTGCTGCTGCTGCTTTTCTTGAGTGGAACATCCCCTTTCCCATTTCACCCTCAGTTCTCCAGGAATAATTACTGGGCTCAAAAGGTCAGTGGCCCCATAAGCTGCCAAGCCCTCTGAATTGCGGAGTACTGGAAATGGTGCTACCAGCTGCAGGAAGGTGTAGAACCAGCATTCTGTGGAGAACATTCTGGCTACCATTGCTGGCTAGCCTACTGGTGAGTAGAAAACAAGATGAAATTGGTTGTAGAACAATAAATAACAAGTTGCTGGAAAATAAGTCATTTTGAAATGGGGGGGGGATGAATAAAACCTATGGAAGCATTTAGCTTCTCTGCCTGAAAGACAAAATGTGGACAAAATAGAGTTGTCCTCCAGAATATAATGGGAAGAAGAAATTATTTAAAAACTGTATCATTTGCTGTAATGGGGATTTGTCACCTAATTTAAAATATATTGCACTGTCTTGTATGTGGTTACATCCCATATAAGTCCTCTGACTGCTGGCATCACTGGATATGCATGTTTATATAGTTATGTGAAATGCCTGTAACATTTTCAGTAATGTCTTCCTCCTTATCAAATGCAGTTGAATATATTTAATGAAGCACAAATGTAGATAGATAAGCAAACAAATGTAGAGCCAATGTAACAGTCTTTTTATTTTTAATAACTAGTCTATATTTTAATTAATTAACACATAGATCAAACTTTAAGAATCAGGGACAGGATGGATCTGTTGGGTGCATTTGTACAACCACAGTAGAAAACTCAGACAATTTCCTCCAAAGTGTCTCTTGAGGGAAGGGCAAGCCCTGGGGCCCAGTCTTTCCACCTGCCAGTTCAGTTCAGCTGGGGAAGGGAGCTCTGAAATGAGAGAAAGCATGTTCCACAAGTCCCTTTCAGGACAAACCCTATGCAATTTAGCTGGAGAACTGAATTGACAACCCGTCCCTTTACCTTAAACAGCTGAAGCCAACCTGAGAAAGTCGTAGTCACTTTCTGTGTCATATCTTGACTGCTGCTGCTGCTTTTCTTGAGTGGAACATCCCCTTTCCCATTTCACCCTCAGTTCTCCAGGAATAATTACTGGGCTCAAAAGGTCAGTGGCCCCATAAGCTGCCAAGCCCTCTGAATTGCGGAGTACTGGAAATGGTGCTACCAGCTGCAGGAAGGTGTAGAACCAGCATTCTGTGGAGAACATTCTGGCTACCATTGCTGGCTAGCCTACTGGTGAGTAGAAAACAAGATGAAATTGGTTGTTAAACAATAAATAACAAGTTGCTGGAAAATAAGTCATTTTGAAATGGGGGGGGGGATGAATAAAACCTATGGAAGCATTTAGCTTCTCTGCCTGAAAGACAAAATGTGGACAAAATAGAGTTGTCCTCCAGAATATAATGGGAAGAAGAAATTATTTAAAAACTGTATCATTTGCTGTAATGGGGATTTGTCACCTAATTTAAAATATATTGCACTGTCTTGTATGTGGTTACATCCCATATAAGTCCTCTGACTGCTGGCATCACTGGATATGCATGTTTATATAGTTATGTGAAATGCCTGTAACATTTTCAGTAATGTCTTCCTCCTTATCAAATGCAGTTGAATATATTTAATGAAGCACAAATGTAGATAGATAAGCAAACAAATGTAGAGCCAATGTAACAGTCTTTTTATTTTTAATAACTAGTCTATATTTTAATTAATTAACACATAGATCAAACTTTAAGAATCAGGGACAGGATGGATCTGTTGGGTGCATTTGTACAACCACAGTAGAAAACTCAGACAGCAATTAATCTGTTAAATGGCTAGAATTGTTTTTGTCTTTTTCCATTCTTTTGCCAAGAAGTAGAAACAAGGACATCTATTATTTTGTAAAGAGCTTTAATGTTCTGGCACCATCCAAATCTTTGACAAAGTTTGCTGAGATTTTGGAACTTCACCATGCAGGTCCCACTATACATGAATGGACATGTATAGTATTTATACCTCCTGATCTTGGCCTCAGAAGTATGAATGAAAAAGAAATATCCTATGAAATATTATTCTCAATGTTATACTTCAATAAATGACCCGATCTTTCAGATTTTGTGCAAAAAGAATAATCTCTGTGTTGTGAAACTTCTGTGAGAATTTATTATCAACAAATAATTTGTTATTTTAGTATTTTAAAATTGTACAGACAATAAGCTTGTAGCATTCTGTTGTTGTAATTTTATAGCACTGAGATCTTGGCTGTCATGCTGGAGAAAGAGTATGCTGTTATGCTACAGAGGTGGATTGAAACTGATGGTATCAGTGTTACTGTTAAAACAAGAAAATACAAGGGAAGGAAATACTGTAAAAGTAAAAAAGGGGATGGGAGAAGATACAGGATGCTCCAAAATATAGCTGTGAAGTGGCCAAGAAGAAAGAGAGGCTTGATGGGACTAAACACCTGTACATGTATGCACCAACACTCCCACACCCACCGGTGTCACATGAGAACACAAAGGAAAGAATACATAATGTGTGCAATGTCAAAAGTCAGAAAAAGCCAGTGCAACTGGTGAGGATATAAACTTCAGTTCATGCCACTGTATTTTGGAACTTCCAAGAGAACCCACAAATCCAGACACTTCAATCAAGATCTTAATTAGTCAGGGTTGGGCTGGCTTTCGCCCCTCAACTGAGTCTATGGCCAAAGCTAATTGTGACTTTTTTCTTGTCTGTTTCAACAACCTCAGATTATGGTTGCATGAAAATTTCATCGCATTCAGTTTTTTTTTCCTGAAGGGTTTACCCAGTTTGCTCCTACTAAACCCAGAGGTAGTTGAGATCCAATATATGATGCAATTGGAGTTGCAGTGGATAGAATCTGAGACTGGTAAACCACAATTTTCTGAGCTTGTGATGTGTCCCATGTAAAGGAAAAATGTGTTCAGCAACAAGAGCACATTGGAACAAGGCAGACAAAAAGGGGTGAATTCAAAGTACAGATTTCTTTTTCTCTGAATGAGCATTTGGAGATAGTAGCAGCACAGAGAGTTGGACACTGAGGCAGAAATGACACCGAATGGCATTTGTATCAAACTGAATGTGTCATTTGCTAGTTTGATATTGAAGAAACCATACCAAAAGGACACTATCTGAAATTTTGGTGGGATATGCAAAACTCCACAGGCAATAAGCTTTACCCCAGAAATGCTCTGTACTACATAAATGTATTGCTGTTATGAAATTGTTTAATTTTGTATGTTGATTTTGTGAAGGAAGGAAGGATGTTTTCTTTACATCTACTTAGTTCAATGATATCACTGAATTTCATATTTCTTTGCTCAGAAATACAAATCTTGGTGATGTGTAAATATTCTTTTCACATATAAGACTAGATTTCTGGCTGTAAAAATTCTTTTCCAAATCAAATGTTAATTTCTAAGCCAGAGAAGAATTTTCGAAGTACCTTCTCATTATTTTTCCAAATACAGTATTCACTTATCTTCACTTATCTTTCTTGATGTTGCAGCGATGACTGATTACAGGCTGCAGAGGTCCCTTTCCCTTCTGGTGCCTGGCTCACAGCTGTAGCAGCAGGTCAGACACAGAGGGAAAAGTCCTGGAAGCTGCAAACTTGATGAATGAAAAATTGGGGAAGAGGCTTGGAGACTCATTGGGGATGAGGAAAGAATAGGCCTCATAACATTGAGTTTTTGAAGTCTTGAATTCAAGTAACTTTATTTTGCAAGCATAGGTCCAAGTTTAACTGGAACTGATTTGTTTAATGTTTTCTCAGGAGAATGCATTTTTTAAAAAAAGGAATATAATGGAGTATAACTATTTCATAAATATCTATTAGTTGAATTTAAAGTACCCCAAATGACATATACCTTGAAAGTATCTCAGATACATTGAAGTCAGCAGAAGCTTTACTTTGGAATGGCACTGGTTACGAATGACCATTTTTACTAATCTTGGTATTTGCTGGATTAAAAAGATTGGGAGACAGTAGTTCTAAACTTTTGAACTTTCCCTTCTTTAGATGTGGAGATTATTTTGTGAAGCTTGCAACAACATTACTTTCAATGTCCCTCATAAACTGAAGGCAGGGATGTTTATTGGCAAAGGTGAGCAAGTACAAGAATGCCTTGTTTTACAATTTTGTGCGTGTGAAGCAATTTTATTGCGTATGACAATCATCAGCTGATATCTGTCTGTTGATTTCTGTCAAATAGCATGAAATGGTATCTAGATGATACCTATGTTTCATTAAAATTAACCAGAGTAATAATAGGCAATGGAATCTGAATTCTGACTAAGGCCACCAAAATTCAATTATGGCAGCCAGAGGACTTGCCACTTGTCTGTCTCTCAGCTGTAACTTTGATTTTATAGAGCAATCTTAAATAAAGTAGGAGATTCCCCCAATTTCCTAGGCCAGTCTAGTTAATGTCCTCAATAACTGATTTTATAGAGCAATCTTAAATAAAGTAAGAGATTCCCCCAGTTTCCTAGGCCGGTCTAGTTAATGTCCTCAATAACCCCCGAGTGCAGGACCCATAATAATGGTCTCAAGCTACAGGAAGCCAAATTTAGGCTGAATATCAGGAAAAACTTCTTAACTGTTAAAGCAGTAAAACAATGGAACTAGTGATTACATCGGGAGGTGGTAAGAGCGTCAACACCAGAGACATTCAGGAAAAACTTCTTAACTGTTAAAGCAGTACAACATCGGGAGGTGGTAAGAGCGTCACTACCAGAGACATTCAGGAGAAAATTGACAACCTTTGTCAGATCTGCTTTGATTTGGATTCCTGCATTGAGAAGGGGATTGGTTTCAATGGCTTTATAGGGTCCTTCCAACTCGATATTCTATGATTCTGTGATAATGCTGGCCAGGCCAGGAGTTGAGAGAAGCAGCTCTATAGAGCTTCTCAATTGTGTAGTTCTTTCTGTTATCCAGACCTTCTTTATGCTTAACAAAGAGAGAAATAATTATGTATACTAGTTCTACATTGGTATGGACAGGATGCTCAGCTTTGGGACTTCTCACACAAATGGAAGAGCTCGATATCTAATGGACCTAAACCTCTCCACATGCCCCAGAATGACCCATCTGGCAGTAATATTTTGCCCCACAGAGTTTTCCATGTGCATTCTATGGTTGTTCTAATAGAAGCGTATTTCTCACTAGTCAAACATCTTTCTACTAGCAGAGATGCCCCTGTCCCATCTCACCTTCTCACAGTATTAGACACTACTGGACATAATTATAGATTTGGAGATCTTTGTTGGGTATTTTGCCTTCTAAACTGTTGTTCCTCAACTCTTCTTTGAAACTGACCTTTTTCTTACAGTAAACATGAAAAGGTGTTCTAACCATTCTGGAATTATTAGCTCAAACAACCCAAACTTTACAGTGCTGGAGGATGGTTCATTGTATACAACAAATGCTCTTTTCTTGTCTTCTCCTGGAAACACCATCACTTTATTCTTTAACCCCATTAATGAAAAAGAGCCAAAGAAGATACATGTTAATTTGCTAACAAATCCAAAAAAGGTAAATTGTTATATTTTACTATGCTATTTTTCCTTGTCAGTTTCCCCCTCATTTTCAGTAGTGCTGTTTTAATTTATATGACAGCATGTATGTATCATTAGCAGCCTCCCTTCATTGTTGTTGCATTATCCTATGTAGCAAAACTGTTAGCCTATTAGCCAACAGGAAATACAGGACTGTAGTTCTTATTTTTTTACATTTTTCTCTTTCTGTCTTGCAGGCCAGAAAAGATATGGCAAGGCACGCACGAGAAACTGTTCGTAGCAGATCTAAACGGAGATGGCTTCCTGTCCCAACTATTATAATGGAAAACTCACTAGGACCTTTCCCAATGCAAATTCAACAGGCATGTTTTAAACACATCCTTTTGCCTTACATTGAAATCAACTTCATATCTTATTTGCACAAGATAATATATGTGACTAGGGTTTCCAGTTTTCACAGTGGTAATTAAAGTCTCAGAGAGTTGTTATGCTTCTCTGGGTCCCTTGGCAGGCAGACAATCATCAGAGCAAGTTGTGCTGGAAGAGGAGATAGTTTTATTTTTGTATGTGAGGTAGTGTTGGAACCTGGACATCCATCTCTACTCATTCCCAACTTAATGTCAGGGCTCACTGGCTGAGCATGAAGGTATTTTATGAGCCAAGTGCATGGATCCACCTTCTCCCTTCCCCTCACTCCTGGTTTTCTAGTGCAATGACATTGGGTCCATTATATCATTGCAGCAAGGAACATACCAGTGCTATGATTCCTGAGATTTCTTGTTGCCCAAGCTGTGTTACAAAGAAACCTATGATTCCTGAGATTTCTTGTTGCCCAATCCCTGGCAGCTGTGTTACAAAGAAATGCCTCTCCCCCAACCCTTGCCTTGGTTGCCTCTTTGACATCACAACAGTCAACTCTGGTGTCAAGTTTTCATCCTGAAATCTCAGTGAATATTATTTTGTTTACCTCTCAACCTATCTTCTTACTGGATATAGATAAAGGGTGAAAAAAATGGGATAAGATCCAATCAAGGTTTTATTGAAGAGTATGATTTTATGTGAAACACTAATGAACTAAATCAGAGTTCTGAGAAACTGTATGTTTTTAGGGATGAATGGCAAGGACAGCATACATACCTCTCATGTATTTTTGAGAAGTTTTACGTGTAAGCTGTTAGCAGAAGCAGTCTTATAAAACTGAAATACCAAAAGTTCTTCTGTACTCATAGACAGAAAGTCATTCTTTTGTATTTTTGCAAAGTAGCTAAGAGGAATCACTTCATTGATCCTGAAAATAGTTATCTGTAGAGAACTGCCTTATTTTATTTATTTTATTAGATTTATACCCTGCCCATCTAGACCAATGGTCTACTCTTACCTGGTAAACTACTGAGAACCAAGTCTGTTACATCAGTTTTGCATTAAGACATACTAAAGCAACAATATAAGATTAGGGGTGCTATTTTGACTCTGTTTGTGTAGCGTAAAAACATCTGTACAAAATGTGACATCACAAATGGAGACCCATTTAAATGCTACAGCCTCTGCCTGGAATTCATTTAAATTAAAAACACATACATAGAAAACGATAACATTTGCAGTCTGTGGCCAAGATTTCCTAATGGTGAGCTGTGTTAGACAGTGCAACAAACTGCCTTAGGGCATGTTGGACTTTCCTTCAATGAAGATATGATAACAGTGGCTGAAGAGCCAACAACAGCTATATCCTACATTGAAGAACCTTCATTAAGAGGTGTGGTAATTAGATTACCTCCAAAGTCTCTTCCATCTCTAAGATTCTACTATGTGGACTAGCCAAATCACATGAAGTTTGATTTCTACTGCAGTACAAATGCTCATGAGGAATGTGTGGCAGTGGGACTTAGCTACTCCATGTGATCACAATAATTCAAAGCAAGCTGCAAATTATCGAATCATTAATAAGTGGGTGCATCATTTGAAACTTGTTGTAGCCATTTTATTTGAACTGGCCTGGAAAAGCAATCTTTGTAAATCCTGAGAGTCCTTACAGCTGTTGAATAAGTACAAAACAACATTTGTTAACAATTATTTGTGTTTATATTCACACAGTTGTCTTCTGATATGGCTTTAAAGTACAATATCAGATATTCCATAAGTGGTCCTGGCGTTGACAAACCACCACTGAATTATTTTTACATTGAGGCAGACACTGGAAATCTCTTTGTTACATGCCCAATAGATCGGGAAGAGTACCCAGAATTTCAGGTATGGGTTACAAGCTTTTCTTTATTGACTAAGATGAAACTGGTAGCAAAATAACAAATTTGCTTTCTGTATACTGTATATTGTAATAAAAAGAACTACAGCCATGCCTTGAATTATTACCAATTGCCAATATATTTCCATTTGCTTTCTGTATACTGTATATTGTAATAAAAAGAACTACAGCCATGCCTTGAATTACTACCAATTGCCAATATATTTCCATTTTCAATACAAGGATCAGAAGCGCTAAAACAACAGTA